TAGAGGCCACCAGGGCCACCTCCCTGCACGGGCCGAATGCGCCCCGAACCTGGTACTTCAGTGAATGCTTTGTCTCCGATTCAAACCCCAAACCTGCGGTGGGATAAATGGAAAAGCTGTGGGCTGTTTCCTGGCCGCTGACACTTAAAGATAAAATGTGCCGGGCGCAGGTCCATATTTACTTTGGGGGCTGAAAGGCTTCTCCGTCTCACAGGTAACGAATACAATCAAACACCAGCAAACACAACACAGGAGAGCGTGAGTCCGGACGATAAAAAGGAGCCCCGAAGCCATCCGTCACTTTGGCCCACTCAGCGGGGCCTCGGTGTGAGCTGCCCACGGCTCGGGTCATAAATACACATCTCGGCTTCCCTCCCCCGGCCGCGTGCCGGGCCCGCCATCACTGGGGTGGCGTGTGCCTGGGGTGCCGTGTCGCCACCTCAGCAGCGTCCTTCCAGGTCATGACTGAGAACCCCAGGTCCTCCAGGAGGGCCATTTCCAAGCCAGGCCCTGGCGTGGGCTCCGTGCTGACCAGGCGGCCTTCCCCACGTGGAAACTGTCCATCTGGCCTCGTTCAGACAGGCCCGCCGGCCTCCAGAGCATCCTCTGGCCCGCTGTCCCCTCCCTACGCTGTCAGAGAGGAAGGTTCCACAGCGGTACCTAAGGGTTCAGTGAACACAAATGAACCCCGCACTGCTCCTTCAGGAGCCTGCTCCCAGGGCCGGGCTCCGTGCAGAGACGGGGGCACAGCAGCCAGCCCGGGATGGGGGGAGGGGGGTCTCCCCTGGGCCTCCCGGACCCAACACCCTCCCAGCTCCATCTGCCCCCAGGCCTCCCAGACCCACATTGCCTAGTTCTCCACTGTAACCCTACAAGCACTGCAGTATTCAAACCCCATTTTAGAGACAGGGAAACTGAGGCTTATAGCAATCTTATGGAACATGGACAAGGACATAGAGCCACCAAGTGGGAGAGATAAGACTGAAACCCATATTCGGTGTGGCTTCTGGGCCCACTCTCTTAACTATTCATGTCACCCCAAAAAAGACCCCAAAAAATGTGTTCAGAAAAGATCCCCTGAAAAACAAGACACCAGTTCAAGGGCCAAGGAAGGCTTGGTGGAGGGAGGAATTCTGAAGGATGTGTAGGAGTGAAAAGCGGGTGGCGACTGAGAGGGTACTTGTAAGCGGAAGAGCTGGAGTGAGCAGAGACGCAGAGAAAGCACACGGAGCATGCGTTTCCACAGACGGAAAGTGGACGGCTGCACACAGCCAGGCGACAGGCAGCTGAAGGCACAGGTGTGAGGCGTCCTGCTGAGCGAGAGCGGGGGAGGCACAGCTGCTCGGAGATTAACCGGCAGACTACTGGCCACCTCACCGGCCCTGGCCAGGAGACGGGCCCCTCGGTCCCTCGTCAGGAGGGTGCTTGGGAGGTTCCTGATCTAATTACAACTTGGCTGGGGTCTGATGCCCGGGAGTTAGGGTCCCCCCAGTCGTCCTCAGCAGGGGGACTGGTGATGCCAGGCCTCTCTCTGTTGTCACTATGACTGCAGGAGCCATGACCATGTACAGGGCAGGGGTCGGGAATATGGGGGACCGTCCTGAACAAGTCATCCTCCCTCCTGTGACACTTCCAAATGTCCTGCAACAGATCCTAAAATTAATCTGAACCTAAAGCATAACTCCATTAAACTGTAAGCACGCAGAGTATTTTGCAGTTTTAAGAAACACAGGGTTTCCCAGCAATGCAACTCCACGGCGACTCAAGGGGACGAGGGACCCATGTGCTTGGGCATTTCACACAAAGCGTCCACCATTTGGGAAAAACCGTGGCACTCGTGAGTGCTGACCCTGTCATAACTCGCCGCTAAACAGGAAGGTCTGGGTCTCTGTTTGTCGCTCATACAGCCCAGGCACTCACATCTGCTTACTCCATCCTGTCTCTGGCGTCGTCCTGGCCAGCCCAGCACTTCTGTTCTGAATATTACAAATAACTGCCCTTTTATTTATATCTAACTTTGAGGGGTTTTTTTTCTTTTTTTCAACAGTCCATGCAGGTAGATATTATCCATGAATTTCATTTCAGGATTGTAAAGGGAAAGTTATAAATTATGTGTATTTAAAAGGGGGCATTGGGTTTGACACTGCTGAAAACTATTTAGGTGACAATAAGAAATTCCTGGTACACATGCAGAGATCAGGAAACAAAACACATTGATAAGAACCTTCCTCAAACATTTTTTTTAAAAATTAACTATAATACTTAACCTTTGACAGCTAAATGATTTAATTGAGTATTTTTTAAAAGTCTGTAACATTCAGACAACAGGCAATGCCGAAAAGAGAGGAAAGCATTTCAGCCCCCTGTATCCCACAGAATTCCAAGTCGGCCTCTACCTGAGTGTTCAAAAGGCTGAAGCCAGAAACCACTAAATAAAAGGTAATGCAACTAGGCATAACACGATAAAAGATATTACCTTCAAAACGCATTATGGTTGCCAATTATAAGAATCACTCCAACTTAATTTCAAAAGCACAATCACCCTCAACAGAAACAGTCTCTTTTTTAAATTTCAAGGAGTATTACATTAAGGCAATAACTCACCTTGCAGCTATAATATCTCCCTCCCCTATTGCAACACTACATTTCATAAATACGTCTCATCGACAAGTCAAGCTAATTCAGGTTAATTTTATTGTATTTTGGTGCTATCTCACATTTGTGTTGCAATTACGTTTATCATTTTATTGCCAAGGCAGAAAGTAATCAGAACAATTATTTGAAAACGGAGGTTTATAAATTCTAAATCACAGTTGCTGGCATTTTTGATAAAGCCGCAGCTTTATCTCGGGAAGTGGCAGGGACACGGGATAAATCACGCATCAGTCAAGTGCAGCTGACCCCAAGTGCATTGCACAATATCAGAAGTGCTTCCGAAGAAACTTTCCGGCAGCATCCATCATCCTTCATAATACTAAAATAGCTACACACCTGAAGAGCAGAAGCTGGAGAATAATAAAAAAAAAGGAAAAATTCCAAGCAGTGTGGGCAAAACCATTAACTGCTCTCCCTTTAAACTGTAAGCTATGGGCCACGCACATAAACAAATATGGCTTTACAGTAGCTCTAACTATCTGTATTCATATTCGTCAACTCAGTTTTAAATATAAATGAAATATGGAGCAGAGCCATAAACAGGAGAAGTGCATTTCTAGCCTCCATGCATTTTTATGTCCTGCTTGGGTACGGCCGCTTTTAAAACCCACTGTCCTGGTCAGTCTGCGAGGGTAACATGTACTCACAGTCAGTGTCACTGCGTCTACCTCTTTTCTCTGGGCCTCGTTTGCTCCGAAAGTTTCGTGCTTAAAAAAAAAAAAAGAATGTAACTTGATTTGAAAGACAAGAAGAAAGGGGGAGATGCTTCAGTCCTCACGTTGGTTTTCTCTAAGTTAATGACAGGTGGCAGGGAGCGCTGAAGTTACACAGGCCATTCGGAAGGCAGCTGGCCAGGTCCCCAGTCACACATCTTCACATGGCAGAAACCGCCCTGGACCTCAGCCGCAGCTTTCTTTAGGGAAAGACGGCGACCACGCCACACCTCTGGCACACATTATCCATACCTTGTTGAACTCTTCTTAGAAGGCAAATCCTTCTAAGACGATCAGCCATTTCCCTTTTTGTCAGAAAGCAAATACCCCAGAGACAGAATGCTTCGGCCCCTCCGTGCAGGTGACAGCACGTGCCTACAGACTGTGGAAAGGGCTAGTCGGGTAGAAACAGAATTGATCCCTGGCCTGTGCCTGGCAGGGGGCCAGGTGCTTTATATATATTATCTCATTACTCCTCCCAGCAAACCTGAGGTTGAGCAAAAGACTTGTAGATGAGAAAACAGATTGAGAGGTTAAGTAACCAGCCCAAGGGCACATAAGTGGCAGGTGGGTCAAGGTCAAATCCAACATCCTTCAAAGCCTCGACTTCTCCCGGACTCATTCCACACTGCATGAGTCAGCAGAGGCTTAGCTCTTCTGCAGTGACAAGTGCCACCAAACCTCCATTGGGGGCCTGGGTTGGTCCCCAGGGTGGGCGCCTCCGTGTGGCACCCCAGGACACTGCACACGAGCCTGACTGCCACAACAGGGCTGTGGTAACCCACGCACAGGTGTGTACATGTGTCCACCCAGCCCAGAACAAGATGCAGGCATTACATAAGGATGCCCAACAATTTTCCAGCTTCAGCCAAAGAAAACTGACAATGACCCGTTTGTATTTCTGACAGCTAAGTTTTACGGTCCTTTGCCATCGGCAAACCCCACTCCAGCAAAACACATCACAAAATGAATCAGGTGTAAGATCCTACCTAACACGTATCCACAAAGATACACAATACTTTAAAACTGTCCACTGTCACACCTCTTAGTATGAATACTGTGTGACTCCTGACATAGTAAAGCACCATCAGGCCTTTTAAAGGCTTTCACATTCACCTAACAGATTTTCAGTATCTCTGTTTACAACAAAGAGAAGGAATCATATGTAGGTAAAAAGTACCAATTCAACCAAAAATTGGAAGTAAAATAAAATAAAATGGGTTAATAAAAAAGAAAAAAAAAACTAAATTAGTAGAGAATGCTGTGAAAGGAAATTATTACTCTTCACATAAAATAATGTTAGAGGACCCTCACTGTTTTATTTCTTCTCAACATGCAACATTTGGATATTTGAGAAATAAGCTAATTAGCCAGTCTATCTATTTGGAAACATTATTTCATTTTCTATTTCAGTTCCAGTGTCAACCCTGAGTTCCTAACCATGCTCACACGAGTAGTTAAAACAATTCTGTGGACTCTCTTTGCCAAGCAGGAACTATTCTCCTTCACAAATAACATTTTGCCTGTTGGCCCCCATCTGCACAGGTGACCTCAATACAATGACATGGGCTTTCCAGGGTCCGTTTAGAACAGCGGTTCTCAACCTTCCTAATGCCGCGACCCCTTAATACAGTTCCTCATGTTCCCCCAACCATAAAATTGATTTCATTGCTACTCTATAACTGTAATTTTGCTGTTATGAATTGTAATGTAAATATCTTTTTGTTTTCCGATGGTCTTAGGCGACCGCTGTGAAAGGGTCGTTCGACCCCCAAAGGGGTCGTGACCCACAGGTTGAGAACCGCTGGTTTAGAAGGACCCATTATGCAAGTGAGCGTATTGCAGATCGCGAAAGCCGGGTCTCTCACTGTCCGAGAAGGGACTTATAAACACAGAAGGATGGAGGCAGAGTGAAACCTGTTGAGTTAGATTCGGATTGGAGGTACCAGGACCAACTCAGTCTTTACCACACAGGTGACACATACAGAAACAGGCACATGCTGCACGTGATGGCACGCGTGGGTGATTCAGGGCCACAGGTCGCCCAGCCCTATCCGCCGACAGGGGCCAGAAGTAGCGGCCCCTCAGCAGCCACGAGCACACCAGGGCCCAGCCCTGGTTTCTAACGAGCATGTTCCAGGAGAAGGAAGCCAGGCTCCCTGGAGACGTGACTGAACCCAGCACTGACCGGGGCAGGAAAAACACAAGATAAGCTTGGATTCTCCTGTGGTGCCGGAAAGTCAGAGAGCTAAGAAAATGGACGGGCATGTCAGAAAGACAGGAGCCAGCTTCACAGGGTCCCGAGAGCTACTTGAGTGACAAAGCAATGACAGTACTGGGCTACAACCCATAGCAGAAATCTCCATGAGTCGCGCTGATACAAATACCTGACTGAATAAACAAATGGATGGGAGGACGCAGCCGCTCTTCCACACAGAAGCCCTCCCCTCGGTGAACGACGGAACTGCCGCCACACCAGGAACCGTCGGCAGGAGCAGCCAGACACTGACCAGGGCGGCGAAAGCCTCAGGTGAACTGCGGGCTGACTGCGTGACCTCAAACCGTCTCTCCCAGATATGTGTTCATTACAAAGGGGAAGACAGTAACTTTAGAGCTGGGGAAACGTGACATTTCCTCCGTAGCCAAGTGACCAAGTTGGCGTCACCAGCAGCTGACACAGATGTCATCCACCTCGTGACGGGAGGCACCCCTCTGTGCTCTTCTCGCTGAAACTATGACCCTCCATCCAATCAGGAGACACCACCACAGACCCCAACGAGGGACATTCTACAGGTAACTAACCCATGTTCTTCAAAAGTCTCCAGGTGACAGAAAGCAAGGAGAGAGGGGCGGTCACAAACTAGAGATGAAGGAGACACAGGGACTAAACACCATGTGGGGGTCTCGGACTGGATAGCAGAACAGAGCAAGGACGTGAGTGAAACGCAGACACGGTTCCCCGGCTGTGGTATGCGTACAGGTCACGTGCGGTATTAACACCGGGCGAAACACGGGGGTGACGTACAGAGACCTTTCTACAAGTCTAAAATGATTCCAAAAAAAATAAAATAAAATACAAAGCCGAGCCGTTGGCATCTGTGTGCATGCAGGATCTATCCTGACCCACAGCCCTGGCAGGTGGGACGGGCAGCTCCGTGGTCCCCTAAGTGTCCACAGACCGTATTAGCATTTTCAGTGGAAGCCCACCACGGCCTCTGGGACGTGGGACCACGATGCCATATATGTGCTTCTGAACCACACTGGTGCCGAGATCCAGGTCTGGGGAGGACATCACTTGTGGCTGGGAAATAAAAAGGTTAAATAGATCATAAATTAAGATTAGTGTCAGCTGGCCAGCAGCTTTCTATCACATTATAAATCAGACTAAGAAATGAGGCTCTTCCTGTTTAAAATCAGAAATCATTCGGAGGACTTGCTCACAGCTTCCAACCCAATAGGTCTCTCCTGCCAGAAAAAAAAAAAAAAAAGGAAATATCAAGACAACTACATTAATGTGCAGTAATTCAAAGGGGAAGAGGAATAGATGATGTCTGATTTTATTTAAATATCCCCCTACTTTGGGGGATATTTGTCCCTGTATTTTTTCTAGAAACATCTCTTCTAGACCATGGAGGCAGCTAGCAGTGGTGCTTTATGCTTAGATGTGACAGAAACCGGGGAGAGACTGGCCCAGACTTCAAAGCCTGAGTGGGTTCCAGGTCAGGCCACCTACCCTAGATGGACATAATGGCCAGAGACAGCTACCAGTATTTTATGTAGACATTTTTATAAGGAAGCCAGAGGTTGAAAGCATGGCCAGGATAACTATACAAATTTGGATTTTACTAAAATGTTATGTCCCTCGAGCCCAGGTATTAATCTTGTTATAAAGGTAGCCCTTCCCCACACCGGCCATTCATTTGACTTCCATAAATTTTAAAATGTACTTGTTCTTCCATCACATGGACGAGGCAAACAGAAAGCCTGCAGTACTGAGGGCGGCTCCTGGAGGGGGCGGCTGGGGGACGAGCCAGTGACAACCAACAGGCCAGACGCTTGTGTTTCCTTAAGTATTTATAAAGCTTCCCATTCAATCCCAAAGAAATAAATGATCACTGTTGTTTCCTTAAAGAGGGTGAGGATCACAAGTGGCCAGCACACAGCAAGCTGCCTGCATCACCACGCGGCGCTCTCCGAGGCCCGCCAGCACCATCCCCAGCGTGCAGAGCTCAGGGATGCACAGAGCAGCCGCCGGCTCATCACGCCAACCCGCTGGGCATGGGGAGACCCCGCGCTGTCCTGCAGAGGCTCTGGGCATGTCATTACATTCTCTGTGACCAGATGCTGGGCTGTTTGTGCAGGAACCTACGTCCGATGAAGCCCCGATGTCATTTTAACTACATGGAGACGCTCTGCCTAGAAAAACGAGAAGGCGAATCCTGGAGGGAAGAGATAAGCCGGCGGCAGACCAAATCCCATCCCCGTCTGACAGAGGGCATGTCCGCGTTGTCATTTCTCCCCTCTGACGACGTGGCGCATGTTGGTTAGGATTATACAGAACGGTTACACAAGTTTGGAGTGGGCCCGATCAAAGGAGACGAGGATTTTCTTTCTCTACAAGCAAACAGGAATTTGAGAGTTTGGTGGCTTGTTTATCACCCGGAAGGAGCCACACTCAGCAAGCGAAATGCAGAGGAAGTACGACCCGAAGAGCTTCAGGTCCATGGGGTGGAAACGCAGTGACCTTGGAGAAGCACTCCATTCTCACAAATACACTCAAACACCTAATCACCAAGTGACTACTTGTAGTTTCCAAAATAACTTAACCCAGTTTGACAAAGCAGTTATTTTACAATTCATAGAAATATCCTGCCCGATTCCAGCAGTAGATACCACATTTATTGTGCCTAGACCCAGACGATCAAGAGATCTGTAACTCTCAATTACGTATTTGTACCATAAATTCAAGGAGGAATTAGTCTCATTTACAAACA